GTAACGAGACGTGGTAGACATCATGCACACGAGCCTGGCGTAGGTAGTCGGACAGCTTCACACGAAAGCTGACCGGGCTAGATGCCGTATCAGAAACGACGGCCTGGAGGATGCGGCATGGGCCAAAGAAGTGACGCCGAAACTTGCGAAGCGTGTCCGCTTCAAGCGGCTATGTGCTCATGTGCGGTCTTCATAATCGACGTCATGTGTGCAACCCAATCATTCAGCGCGGGACAACTCGTGTCGGGGTGCATCTGGGACGGTCGAAGGAAGTCCGCGAGAACACGCGGGTGATAGCCGAGATCGCAATAGTAAGGCGACATCCTCGTGGCTGGCGAGACGGCGTGGTTGTAGGCTATATCCGCGTGGGCAAGATGGAGATCCCACTGCTGGTCGTCACGAAAAATCTTTCGGAGAATATCCCCGAGAGTCCTGTTTGTGATCTCGGTCTGACCATCAGTCTGAGGATGGTAAGACGAGGCGAAGCGGAGCTGAGTGCCGTGCACCTCGTGGAGCCGTCGCCAGAATCGGCTGGTAAAGCGCGGGTCACGGTTAGATATGATGCTCAGAGGTAAGCCGTGGTCACGCACGACTTGGTCAAATACGATGTCGGCGACCTCACGTGCACTGATGGCATAGCAGCACGGAACAAAGCGTGCACGCTTCGTGAAGCGGTCGACGATGACCAGGATAGCATCATGACCGTGGGGGGTCGGAGGTCGGGAGGACCGATAAAGTCCATCGAGATGGACTGCCAGCGACCCTCAGGGAGAGGAAGAGGCTGAAGCAAACCATAAGGTAGGTGGTTCGCACTGTTCACCTCCTGACAGGTGGGACACTCTGCGACGTAGTCYTTCACAAASTCCTTGCGCTTCGGCCAGACGTACAGGCGGCTCACACGAGCCAACCTCTTGTGGAAGCCCATATGACCGGCAGCTGCCTGGTCATGGAACTCTGCTACTGCTCAGACACGTAACTGTCCAGTGGAGGGAACGCAAATACGGGGCTCTCTGGTGCCTTGTGAACCGTGCCAGCACACAAGACCGTTGTCCCCGAGAGAGTAGTTCGGGACGGTCTTGCCACTCCGAAGGGTCGCGTGGATGTCGCGATAGTCGGGGAAGTGGCGGTACTGAGTGCGAAACTCGTCGATCACCGAGTGGTGGACGGTGGTGACCGAGATGGAAGAGAGCTGGATTTGCTCCTAGTCGTGGTCAGGGCGCCGGGATAGGGCATGTGCGACCTGATTAGTCTCACCCTTGATGTGCTCAGTATTGAAACTAAACTCGGATAGGTCGCGCCACCAGCGAGCCTGTCGAGGAGTGAGCTTCGGCTTTGTCAGAAAAGCCTGGACAACAGAGTTGTCCGTGCGCACCGTGAATGGTGCCCTGTGCAGGTAGTGACGCCAATGCCGAGCGGCATAAACTACTGCGAGAACCTCACGTTCATCAGCAGTGTAGTTTATCTCGGCGGACAGGAACTGACGGGAGTAGAAGACTATCGGATAATCACATGAGCGAGACTCGACAGTGCTGTCCTCGGCGATGGTAGGAGAATAGTCAATAGAAGGCTCGTCAGTAACTGGACGAGTAGGCGTCAGTCGGGAAGCAGTGGTAGGGGTAGGTGGTGGGAAGCGAGGGATACGAGGATGAGAGGAATCAGGAGATGAAGGGAAGACCTGAGAAAGCACTGCTCGTACAGCGAAGTCTGACGCATCGGTGGTAAGGATAAAAGGGCGGTCAAAATCGGGTAGGTGAAGAACCGGTGCGCATGTCACCGCCTTCTTGAGG